GACCACCACCACCCGTCGTTTTCTTTTGGGGGTGGTGGCCGTGGAACCCCCATCCCTAGGACTACGCATCCCATGCCTTCCAGTAGATGGTGTTCCCCTCTGGTTTCTTCCTTGTGAGGTCCCTTCCAGAGCTTTCAGCACTGCAGAGCCTGTGGAGAGAGCTTGAAAGCGATTACTTACCTCTATAGCATCAGGGGATTCCTGTGCTGGCCTTTTTCCCCTTCTAGAAGTTACATGCTGCCAGTTTTCTTCTTGGTCACGTACTGCCCTCTCTGGCTCCTCTGCCTGCCGTGCTTGAATGATTAAATGTTGCCTTCTATCGAGGAAGTCTTCATCCTCTCTGATCGAGCGTAGGGTTGACACTTGGGCCTCTAGTCCTCTAATTTTTTCTTCCAAAATGTCGACCAGCTTGCACGTCGTGCAGATGAAGTCCATTCTTTCTTCCAGGAGGAAGACAAACATGGCACATGCTGTGCAGGTAACAGCAGACCCATCACCACCCATCACTGCTGTCCTGGAGAAGGGATTTAAAAAGAAAGGCAAGAGAACCTCACGCCCTTCCCAACTCCCTGTTAGCACTTACCTGTTCGCAAGCTCCTTGGTCGCTTGCCCACTGCCTTATAAAGCCCTGGAGTGCCTGAAAGCCCCTCCCCCTCCCAAGGCTCAGCCAATCAGCAGAGGCTTTTAGAATTTAAACTTTAATTAGAAGCCAACAGTTTCCACCTGCCAATCACAGCACAAACTCCATCAAGGGGAGGGGGAGGACAAAGGGGAAGTGGTTTAAAAAAAAAAAAAGCCTCACTCTCAAACACAGGGGTAAATAAATAAATAAATGAATAAACAAACATAAGACAAAAAAAACACACACCAACCCTCACTCATAAACATAAGCTCAGCACACATCAAGAAAGCCCCAAACACAACCCACACTTCCCTCAAGAGTCCTGTATCTGCTTCTCCTCTACCTGGAGAACTCCCTCTCTTAAAGCCTCACTCAAACAGGGAAGGGGGAGGAGGGAAAAAAAAAAAAAAAAAACCTTTGCTAATGCCTTTTTCTGCAAGCTGAGAGATCTTCAGCACATACTGGTGTGTATATTTGTTCCATATACATACACCAGTGATTTTTACCTCCATAGTTCATGCTGCTTCAAGCATGTTTGGTTTATAACCTACTTGTTGGTGAGGGATAATTGTTTTTGTCATTGCATAGATGTGTGACAGTGCCGAAGAGGGAGTTGATGGTGACAACGTGAACATGTCAGTTGTGCATCCAACCACCCCAGCGCAGTATTTCCATTTGCTTCGTAGGCAAATGATCCGAAACTTCCGGAAGCCTTTAATTGTTGTTTCTCCCAAAATGCTACTCAGATTTCCTGTGAGTAAAACACTCTCTGCTAGGGTTACTTTTAGTTGGATTACTCTAAAACACACTGTTGCACCAGTTTAACTAAATGTAGTTTGCACTAGTTTAAACTGATTCAAACTTTGTGTATTGGACTTCATAAATGTATTTAAACATGGCTTATATTGATTTAGCTTGCACCTGTAAACCTTTCCAGTGCAAGCTAAGCCAGTATAACACTTATAGTTTTACACTGGTATGTCCACATGGATTTTTTCCACCAAGTTGACAGTATAGTGGCTTTCAAAAGGATTTTAGTTAAATGGTATCTTATTTGACCACTTACATTTGAATTTTCCATTTCACTCATCTTTGATATTGAGACTACACTGGTGAGTTTCACGTCCCACTTTTCATGCATTAGCAAAATGTCCTGCTGTGTTTTGGCATTCACAGAGTTGGCAAAGAAGGTTTTTAAATTCTTCCATCCTTTGTCCTTTCAATAAATGATAGGAAAGCCCCTGGAAATTAAATTAAAATATCTGGATAATTCTTCATAATAGTCACAGTGAAATAATATCTTAGTCTAAATATGTGGGCTAAAATCAGTTTGACAGCATCAGCTATTAATCAATTTAATTGTAGCCATTGTTAATAATGAAGATTATGCCAATAAACTTAGAATTCCCATAGACAACTGATTGATGCATTGTTTTGATCAATAAACAGTAGTATAAGACTTTGACTTCTGGTATTTTCTTCAGGATCATATTTTGATCATTATACAATACATTAATTTTTAGATTTGGAAACTACAAGTTAATATCCTACTTTCTTGTCTCTTTCCCCCCCCCCCTTTAGGGGGCAGTGTCAAGTTTTCAAGAAATGGCCCCAGGGACAACATTCAAGCCTGTAATTGGTGATTTGTCAGTGGATCCTAACAGGTAACTTGATTCTTGTTTCTAATATTCATGGTTCCAAACAGTATGTAAGCATAATTGGCTGTAAAACGAGATTTTTTTTTTTCTTAAATTCATGTCTGATAGTTTTATGAAGGAAAAAATAAACAGGATCAATAGAAAACTTAGGGTAGAATTATAGGTCCTTCTATTCCCTTGTTATATCTGTAAAACTCACTCCACTGACTTAATTACCTAGCCCTGATTAACATGCTTATAAATGAGAGCTGAATTAGGCCTGAAGGTTTTGCACTGCTATTTTTGTGAGGAAAAATAATTGTTGTTGGTCTTTAAATGTTTCACATGCTCAAGTGAGGAGCCTGTAGGGATGAGAACCATGGCTGGACCAGAAAACTATATTTAAAAAGTAGGTTTAATGGGTTTTTTCCCCTGCTTCGGGAATATAAATAGTCCTGCTTTAAAGGTAGCAAAGTACCAGTAAACTTCTGTCTGTGGTACTTAGTATCTGGTCCCCTGCCACTGGCTGCCAAGCCCATCATCTACTGATTAGCAGGCACCCTACCTAATTTCCCCTTCCCCCCAACCAGTCTAGACTACTCACCCAGATGCTGCCAAATCCCTGGGTGGCACAAGCTCCGGCTCCGGCCTTGCTTGCCATGGGCTACAGCAGAGCTCCAGCCCTGGCCCTGTCCTCTAGGGAGTTGCCGGGGACTCTGACCCTGAGCATCTGTGGGGCTCTGGCCCTGGCTGACCCTCCTGCTCTTAGGCTTCCAGGCTGTCTGGTCCAGGAGTACCTGTGGTCTGGCAGGATCACAGAGCACCAGAATCCTGAGGTACAACCTGTAGAATGTGAATTATTCAAACCTGAATGTATTTATTATCGTCAACACCCTTGTAAGTTAGGGAAGTACTACTGTCCACATTTAACAGATAGAAAACTAAGGCTCAGAGAGACTAAATGACTTGGCCAACCCAGTCTGTAGCAAAGCCGGGAGTTTATCCAAGGCTAAGTACTTGATAACTGGACAATTTTTCCTCTTCCATCCTCTTTTTTTTTTTTTTCTTTATTTTGATCTGATAGCACTTGGGTCTTGTCCAGTTTTCTTTATTTTATAAAAGTTTAGGAATGAATGTATAACAAGTGTCTGGCTAGGGTCATTTTTTAAAATGCTGAAGCTGAAAACACTTTAATTTTTCTACTTTTTAGCATCAGCCGAGTGGTGTTCTGTTGTGGCAAGCATTACTATGCTTTGCTGAAACAGAGAGAGGCACTAGAAGAGAAGAAGCACAGCACTGCTATTGTCAGACTAGAAGAACTTTGTCCTTTCCCCCTGGAAGCTCTACAGCAAGAGATGAACAAATACAAAAATGCCAAAGGTCAGGAAGATCTTTATACTTTGCATTTAATCTCTCAATATATTAAAACCCATGGCCATCCAAAACTAGACTTGTTGCTGCTTCATTTTTTTTCTTTCCTTTTAGGATTAGAAGGCCTAGATTTGGTTTGGTTTTTGTTGTTGTTTTTTCCCACTTCCCTATAGATATAACTTTAGATCTGCTGCTTTAGAAACACAAATCCTTATTAATTGAACTATAGGGAAATGTACTAGTATGGAGCCTATGATGCAAATAAGCAGTTCTGAATCTATGCAGCAGATGGCAGTGATAAACTTACATGTTGTTAATACAAATTGAATTTGTAAAAATTCCAAGTAGAACTTGGAAGCCCAATTGAGATTGTGTTCCTATTGTGCTAGAACTGTATAAACAGGCTAAGAGACAATCCTTGCCCTAAAGAGCTTATTGATACAATGTGTATTTAAATAAATACTGCAGATTGTTTAATTTAGTATCTTTTCCTATTGATCACCAGTGTTCGATCTCTTGACCTTAGGGGAGGAAGGGAGGAATATCCTTTAAAGCACATCAAGTGAGGGAGTGTTCTCTGTAATGGAAGGATTTGGGGAAAATAGGAAGAATAATTTCTTTAAAATACAAATTTTCTTTCAGATTGTGTGGTAACCTAGTCAGTCCAGTCTTCAGACTGATTGGGAGGGGGGATGCTTTGCTGTGATAGCTGTATGTTCTCATTGCATCTAAGTAAACTAGCTTAGAGATTCATTAGTACCTGTTTGTGTATTCATTGCAAAGACCAATTGATGTATATGGAACATTGAAATACAAAGCCTCTTATTTTTCCTACAGATTTTATTTGGAGTCAGGAAGAGCCACAGAACATGGGTCCCTGGGCCTTTGTGTCACCAAGGTTTGAAAAGCAGTTGGCATGTAAGGTAAGGTTTTCGTTTAATTTGCTATTTTGCTAACAGAAATTAGTAGGGATAAGTTTAATGTTCATAAATATCAAATGAGTATAATATTCCAACTTCAACTAGTCTGTATGTTAGAATAGCCACAGCCAGAGTTGGGGCCGAGTGTTTGTGTGAGGTACTCTACAAACAGTGAGAAACCCTGCCCACAAGAGTTCACAATATAAATAGACCGAATAAACAGGCCCCAAGAAGGTCACCAACGAGGAATTATATAGGAAGATACAGCCGAAAGAGAACCTGCTGCAGAAGGTTATACAATGGAAATTACAGCTATTTGGGCATATCTGCAGAATGAACGCGAGCGAAAAGATAAGACCCTGGTATTCGGCATAATGGATGGTCCGAATAAGGGAGGCAGACCCCACAGAGAATGGGTAGATGATATAGTAGATTGGTGCGGAGCTAGTTTTCAGAAACTGAGCCACTCCGCACTGGACATGGAAAGATGGAAGGATATAGTGAGGGAGGTATCGGACACCAACGGGCGTTGATGATGATGAAATCGTAGGAACATAGGTGTCCATTTCAGTTGCCTAAGTCCAACATTTAGGTATCCTTGATATTCATAAAACTACTGTGCAACTGTCACCTAGACATG